GACGCCCAAAATCAAAGATGTAGCTATGGTAATGGTGCTACTCTCTTAGTTTTCAAGGTATTGGCGTACGGACGGACGGACGGACAGTCACGTGACAACCAAAATTTTGTCAGATCGATGGGTTACCAAATTTTCTAAGGTATGGGGCTCCGCTCGCGCGCCTCCGGCGCGCAGGAGCTCCGCTATTAACTGTTACTGAGAAATTAAATTTAAAAAACGTCACAGCGACTGCACTGTTCCTCGTGATCTACTTATAACTAATAATAAACACAGATCACAAAGCCAGAGGATAAAAGATCCTAAGAAAATTGCATTTTTTCTCGGAGAGAACCGTGACAAGATTCGGTAATTTAGTTCAATTTATTTTTCTTCATGCAGACAAACAGCCTTGCCCTGTACATATCTAGTAACACTGTTAATGTGGCTTATAACCTCGGGGATGGACCAATCACAGCTCAGAATCCACTGGTACTTAACAATGACACATGGCACAACGTTTATTTCACCAGGTGAGAGAGTCCACGAACGGTATAGCTATTTTCCATCTAGTCTGTTACCTAAATAGCTTAAAACCAAAGTCCGAATATTTTTATACCCCCAAAATAACCACCGGATAGTTAAAATCTGTTTTGTTTCCTCTAGATAACAATGAAACGCCTCTTTTCCTTTCCTCTTCCTCTCTATCCTACTGTTGTTGTGTCCTTCACCCTAACTCTTCTGCGAATGAGCACAAACATTGTAAAATAAAGCGATTGGTCTTCGACTGAAACTAAACAACCCCTTATTGCCCTCCGGTTCTCAGTAATATTTGATCTGTTCTCTAATATTTATGAGCAAATATAGAAATGTCATCACAAAAAAAAATGTTGACTTCGTTGTCTGATAATCATAGTCTGTTTAGCTTTCAGAAACGATCAAAGGAGATATTTCGCTCTTTTTCTTGTTAAACAGATTTGGGGCCAATGGGTTTTTAACAGTCAGTGCAGACACAAACACCCACGAAACGGTCATGATAAATGGCTCATCAGTCAGCGATAACACGATGTTACAACTCACCAATCAAAGTGCTATTTACCTGGGAGGATTACCTGCAAACCAATCGGTAAATATTGACAAATAACTGAAATAAATTATATTATTTAGACAGAAAGCCACAGCAGCCCTAGTTGGGTTTCATGCGGGTCCTCTATCTTGGTCGAATTAGAATTTAGAGACGTTGGTTTTTCAGGAGCGAGGAAAACTGGAGTACCCGGAGAAAACATACATATACATACAGTCAGACAGACAGACAGACAGACAGACAGACAGACAGACAGAAAGGCAGACAAGACTTTATTCAGGGGTTACCTTCGAAGCAAGGCAAGAACCAACAACAAACTCAACTCACATATGACACCGGGCCGGAATCGAACCCAAGCCACATTAGTGGGAGGCGAGCACTCTCACCACTGCATCAACCCTGCTCCCCAATAAATAATAAATTTATTTGCATGGAAGCAGTCTTAATTTTTGCTATTCTCATATGGAGAGAACAAAACTAATACTTATTTTGGAGAACTTTAAATGAGATCTCAAAATAAAGAATCAAACTTGATCCACAAGGGTATTTGTTTTTCCTTGTTGTAACTTTTTCCAGGAATCTCAAGTGTTTGACCACTTCAGTGGAATCATCGATAATCTGGTTATCGACAACAAACGCTACAATCTTTGGGATCCTAAGGAAACTATTGGTAGCACNGACACATTCATCAAAAGCTGTAAAATAAGATAAAGTTTAGGGTTATATCAGAAGCATATAATCCCGAAGCGCGTAAATTCTCTTTAGATGTTCAGAAAGATGCTGAGGTTTTTTATCCCACCAATCAGAACTACGGATTTTTTTTGCCCAAATATGGAATCAGAGGCTTGAAGGCAAGCTTCTTTACAAAATGGCGCCCTTTCGCAGAGAGGCTGAAGGGATAAATCTTAACATCTTCTGACCCCAGTTGTTCGAAGGCTGGATAACGCTATCCATGAGATAAATCGCTATCCAGAGGATAAGTGTTAACAAAACAAACCACGATATCCGCTGGATAGTGATTTATCCCGTGGATAGCGTTATCCACCTTTTGAACAACCTGGGCCTGATCTTCAGCGACGTCATCAAAACGATGAAGTATGACGTCATCGCTTAAAAATGGCTATAAAAATGGGTTTTTTCGCTTACATAAATGGCTAAATGAATGTCGTTTGAGTAAGATATTGTAATTGTCTTTGTTTTTTAGTCGTAATAAAGTGTGCTTTGCTATTGAAGAGAATTTGCCTCATGTTCTAAATTACCTTCACATTTTGGGGTGAAAGAAGAAAGGAAGGAGTGAAAAAAGAAGTTAATTAGTTAAAATATATGTGTGTGTTTTCGGATTAATGACAGAGTTGATATTATCTATTTAGACCATGGAGTACTCCCAGCTGTGATGCACACGGTTTGTTTTGACTGTATCAGACAGTAATTGGAAAATTTCATGGAATCCTGTTTTTCTTTTAAGGTCCTCGTACGGAGATGGCCGCTGGTATCGTATTCGTGTTGTACACACGTCTGTAAATGCAACGCTGACAGTGAATCTCGTAGGCTCATTAGAGGCACCTGACGGTCGCTATGTCGACACTGGTGAAACAGTTATGGACAGCGGTCATGTGATCACCTTCGGAGCGCTCATTCCAAACAGGTTAGTCCCGAAATAAAAAAAACAATAATAGAAACTTTTTAAAGCTTTAAAGCTTTAAATTAAAGCATAGGGAATAACACTTGGGCTTCTCGAGTTATAATAATCCTGGATTAACCGCGCGCTGATAGACGAATTCAGTTTCTTCTGAATCTTTTTAATGGTCCAAATACAAAGTTCTAAGCCATATTGTTGCTGTTTCAGTGTATCAAACTTTGAAGTTACAGACGTGTTTTCTGGCGATATGGACAATTTACTGCTATTTAGCAGCAAATTTGCGTCTCTTGTTCCCCGATACTTCAACGACCCAGCACTGATGATTGCCAAGCAAGGAGTGTCGTTTTCTGGAGTTATCAGAGGAAAGGTAGGATACATTGATAGGAGTCAGGTGTATGCCCAAAAAGAATCCAAAGGCACCCGAGCTCAATGTGACTGAACACGAGGAACGGGCGGGTAGCTGATAGTTTTTCTTCAATTTTAGTGTAAAATATTACAGAACTGAGCAGTGATAGGTGAAGTCAGCATTCTTGTTAATATTGTGCATCTGCCTACGAAACGGATCCCTTTTTCAATAATTATAAACAAATTGACGTCATTGCTTCCCAACTCTATCACGGTTGTCCATAGTTTGAACCTTTTAAGAAAAAAAATCTCTTTGAGCTCGGGGAAACGTGTTTGTCGTAATTAGAAAACAGCTGGCCAATTCGAGCCTTTCAAAACAGCAAAGCGTTCATAAGCAAATTCAATGTTAATTTTAATCGCGGAGTGAGCCTTTCAAGAAGCTTAGTGTATGATTAACAAGGCGGGAGGAGCTATCGACTACACTTGTTTGTAGGTAGAATTCCCAGACCGTAAATGTTCTGGTGATCAATAGCTTTGTTCGGTGTTTGTTCCTTAAGTGATGCTCATGCTGCTTTTAACTTTCAGACTGAATATGGAACACGTTTCTATGGTTACCAAGAGGAAACTGGTGACTGTTCATATGCAAGTATTGACATCAGCAGTGAAATAGCGACAATGTCTTCTTTAACCTTTACTTTTAAGACAAACGGAGAGAGTGGAGTACTTCTCTACAGCAAAAGTGACGTAAGCATGTTGTAAGAACTGTTTACATATCTTAAAGTTGTAAGCGGAACAGGGATTGTTTGAAACTGTGTTTCGGAGAATTACATGGAAGTCTGCGCGTTATAAATTATAATTACAACTTAACCTGCTGACGTCAATTGATCTGAACGCTTGTATAGTAGGACCACAAATGGAATAGTTATATAAAACTTGGGCAAAATTAATTCAGGATCTCGTATTACTTTTATTAATGCTGGCTTAACAAAACACGTTAAGTTGGTGCGAATGGGACATAAATTACGAAATGATCAACGTCTTATTTGTTTCTACAGTATCAATAATCAGGCAAACGCAGTCATCAACGATGTCAGCTATTCCTATGAAGATTAGAAGGCTAAGTGGCCTACTTAAATCCAAGCTGATAAACAATTATTCCATGATGAAGCAAAGCATGCTCTCTTTTGTGTTACTTTACCCTTTATACAGATGCCAGGAGCGCCATCACTGTATATGACTTTGTTTCATGGTGACTTATTACTACGGCTGGGGAACATTGATTCTGATTTGGTGTTCTCTTCATCAAATATCACCTTCTCTGACAATTCGTGGCTTGTCATCCATCTTCAGCTGTCGGACAGTGGGTAGGTTACAATAGCTATCTATCATCATCATCGTCTGGCTGTATTGAATAGAGACCGTAGCAGAGCATCTCACTCCCCTCACGAACAATACAAAGGCGTATAACAATCTTTGAAGATAAAGAAGATAACTAAAGAAGTTAAAATTGATTTGCCTTTCCTGTGTATGAAGAGGTAACATTGAAAAGGTAGTCTCCAACGTCCTTTCCACTTCTAACCCCTTGTAGCTCAAACTATCTAGCTTTGTATGCCCTACATACAAAGTTCCTTGTATATATAGGGATGGACCCTGCAATGCAATCCTTACTGTGAGAGCCAGTAATGCCTAAAATCTATTCTAGATAATGGGAACAGATATAGATCAGGATTTGTCTCAAATTTTCCGAGATACGACACTTTACAATGTGGCTAGAGCAGTGTGCTATCTTAACAAATAAACGTCCTGGTATGATTTTTTACGTTTGTTTTCTCTTAACAGATACGCACTGTATGTGAACGACAGTCTTCTTTTTACGGATGTTTTTGACTTTGTGGCTTCACCTCTGATTCTTCGCCAACCGTTTTACATGGGCGGTATTCCATCGAACGAGTCCTCTCAAGTTCCTTACGCTCTATGCTTTAAAGGAGGGATGAAGGACTTGATCATCGATACAAAGTAAATAAAATCTGATAAAGGCCTTTTACTTGGTGCATTTTGCAAGTCAGTTTACCCATTCTGCATTTTAATTGCCAGGGTTATAAATACGACCAAAAGTTACACCAATTTTGCTATAAATATATTAAACACGAGAGACCGTGTTTTACCACATTCCCCATCACCGAAAAAAGAGTTAAGTAGGACGCGCAGCCGAGTATTCTTGACGCACTTACAGCTATAAAAAAATTGTAGTTGTTCACAGACGAAGCAAATATAAATGAAACATTTCAATTACGTTGAAAGTAAAGCGTTAGCAAAATTCTGAAAGTTATGGTGCGCTTTTGTTGTTAAGTAGAACAGATACTAACTTTGTTCCTTGTTTGTTCCTCTCACCCTCCAGCTCAGTGAGTTTCTTCTCTGGCCACTCAATTGGTGTATCAAATGCCGGTGTCATTCCGGCCCGTGTACCTCCACCCATCCCTCCCTCATGTAGAGCCCCACTACCCCCACCGACTGCGTCCAACAACGACAGGACCGTGCATTTTAATCTTCAAGGAAGCAAAGGAAAAGGTTACATTGGATTTAAGTTAAGCGAAGAACAAAGCAACATATTTGAACTTAGGTAAAAAGATTGTTTTCTTGTCCTATTTCTTTAAGGTTTTTTTGAGATTTCTCGCTACATCTTATGTCACTTGTTCCCACCGAAGAAGAGTTACCTCAAGAACCAGAAAGGGCAGCATTACAGATTAGAAATAAAACCTTTTTTCTATCCTTCTTTTAATTATTACCATTGCGATAAAGAACTGCGATTGGTTAAAAGCTATCTCCGTGATCAGTTCTTAATTCCTATATGGGATCCTACAAAGAGAGAAGCACTCATGAAAGTCTTGATCCTGTGAAACGTTGTGAAGAGTTCCTATTCTCACAACTTTTCCCCTCAATGTAATGGAGCATGGAAAACATTTTCCATTTCTTAAAGGTAACACAGCCATGAAGGATAGAAATGCACCTATCCAGCAATAGATCTTTGACAGCTGTTCTGTATGAGTTAGTAACTGACTTGAGAAAATTCCTTTTTGAGATTAAGCTTATAAGGCATCACTTGCACTAATTTAATGCTCTTTTTCAGCTTTGTAGTCGGCGTGACCTTCCGAGCTCTATCTGATGACGGTCTTCTGTTATACGCCACTGATAATGACACACACCCGACCCAGTTCTTTTCAGTCGAGCTTGTCCAAGGGCGAATATTGTTCGAGTTCAATTCAGGTAGAGGCCTGGTGTCTATTAGTACCAAGCAAAAGTATTCTGGGAATGGCCACTGGTACACGGTATGTATTATGGGACATTTGAAAACACTTCTCTCTAAGGACCATAACCCAATTACTAAAGTGTACTTAGACAGATTTTGGATAGGAAGTGGGAGTTGAATTAATTCATATCTCTAACTGATCAGAACTGCAAGTTTTACTTTACGCGTCATAATACGTAGAGTCTCCCCTTTCTAGTACCTTCAGTCTTGTTGCAAAACATCGACTGGTCATGATCAAGATAAACCTTTTCTCGTCCTTCTTTGCTCATCCTTGTAGTACTAGTAAGCACCAATTATAAGAAGTAGAGTAAGTAGCCATTAAAATTGACAAAATGCTTCAATCAATCGGAATGAAACTTCCTCTTTTCTCTTTTCAGCTATATTGGTAGTTTTAAAACCACTTTAATGACCAAGCCAGGGAAAGTCAGTAGTTACACCACTTCAAAATCACTTCACTAACTGAAATAATTTGATTCATATCAGGTTTATATTCTCCGAATGTTACATTTTGGTGCCATTTTACTGAGTACCAACGAGTATGCTAACGGAAGACACAACCCGCCTGGTGAATCTATGAATCTACGTCGTCTTTACATTGGTGGCCTTCCAAGTCACGTGATTGCCCCTGCTGTCACAAACAGGTATGTTTAACACTGCACAAAGTGACAATAAGGAGAATTTAAGGATTTGTAGTCAGCCCTAGTTTGGTATAGAAATGATAACGTTGTAAAATTGACTCGCGTTATGGCGATCTCTCGTGATACTGAGCATACTCTCAACCGAAACTAGCTAAGTACCGTTTTTGGTCGTCGGGATTTTCTACCAGATAGGCTTTAGTAAAATTATCGGAGAACCAACCGTTACCGTTCCATTGTGTATTCAGTCTTTTAAAGGAAAAAATTTCACTTGCAACTACCAGACAAGAAGGTCATTTAAACTGGTATATGATATGAAATGATCAAATTGTGCCATGAACGAAATGAGTTGATGGCATATTTCCGCCACATTTTCAAATACTTTGAGATGTTGTTGTGAAAGTATTTTTCTTTCCTTAATTTTAAGTGGTGGAGATTTTAATCTACAACAGGGAACAAACAAACCAAACCTAAAAGAAATTTTAACAAAAGATTCGGCTTTAATTTTAATTTATAAACGTCCGAATTACTGTTAATTTTTCTGATTGTTGATATTTGCTGGTGTTTTGCAGGTACCTTGGGTTTGCAGGCTGTATCAAGGATTTTGATGTTGCTGATGTCCCTGATTCCTTGTTTGATTTAAGTAAACCCAACATGACTGGATCTAACGAGACACGTGGATCGTGTTATGAGACTGCTCAGCCTGGTCTCGGCTTCAACGGTTCTGCCTGGGCCAGATTTGGTACGAAATTAAAAGCCGTAACTAATACATCCGTACGCCGCAGAAATTTACAGTCATTCAGGGGGCCATCAGTCCTTCTCTCTGGTCTGATATGGCCGCCTCTCTGGTTTAATAAATTACTTACGTTCTCGGGCTTGTGAGCATAAATCTTGATTCACTGACAATGAGGGGTTCATAAAGTCGCAGAGACGCCAGCGGGAATATACACATGTTTTAATGTCCATTTCTGACTTTCTTAGCGATATGGATAAACATAAACTGCTTGCTTTTCGCAGTAAATCCATTACTAAGTACTGAATATAGACACCGTTCTTTAGCGAGCTCGAGTACGGGATAAAAGAAAACAATTTCTTGTTTATTTCTAGATAACTTCAGTTTAAATGCAGAGTTCAATGTTCAGCTGACTTTCCGCACCTCATCACGTGACGGGGTATTGTTTCTGATAACCGGGAACTCTAGGAGTTCACCAGGTAAGACATAACAGACAAGGGGCTTGGTCTTGAACCTCTCAAATAGTATTTCCGTTGGCTTTTCGTTAAAATCCTTAAAGCTACTTATCTGAAAGAAAATAAACATTGAAAGCTAAATCCTTAACGTCATAAACTCTGGTCAGTGTAAATTCCACACCCCTCAGGGGTGTGGAATTTACCAGTGGTCGACGTTTATCTTAACAAAGGCATATAACAGCCAAAGAACAACTATGATACTCGGTACATAGTCAACTTTGGCGCAATAATCCATAAAGAAGACTTTGACACAAGCAAGAGCAAAAGTTGTTAAAAAGGCAGTTATGGAAAGAGAAGTTTATTTAATGTATACGGATGAACGGCAGATTTTATGATGAAGGAAAAGGAGCTTCCAATTGTGTTAAAGCATCAAACTCTGGTTTCGTAAATACATCTTACAACATTTTAGAGTGACTTTAAGAATATTAAGCATTCGGGGAGGAAAATTAAGAAACACAGGAAAACAAGATCCTTTGTTGAGTCCCTTACGGGAGAAAAAAAAAACCGCACGCATGAAGTTTATTTCCGTAACCATTTGTACAATTTCAAGTTAAACATAGAGTCCTACTAAACAGACAACATCGGTTATGTGTGGTTCATAGTTTAGTGCGTTTAAAGTGCTTTTGTTTTAACAACAGGTAACAGAATGCACATCCGTTTGGAACTGTCAAGTGGCCAGGTATTATAAAGAATGTTTTTAACAAAGATTGAACGTGACGAGTAATAAATAAACATACAAATAAAAACAGAACGGTGAAATCTTCCTAACGTGTCGTGCCCTGATATCACCGGGATTTTGCTGATAAAACGCTCAATATATTCACTGTTCCAAAATGTATTTTTGTACACCGAAACGTTGCGGCTTAGTATTCTGTAAAGCCTCGGCTTGGACCGAAGAAAAGTCATACCAAACAAATCCGTAATTGCTGATGTTTGTCTATTTTCCCTTATAGATAGTTCTGACGTATAATACCACAATAAACCAATCTCGAGTTGTTTGGACGGAGCCCGGGCTTGGAAATGATACTCAGTCCTCTTACCTCATGTGCCAAATGAATTGGCACTCAGTCAGAGTCATTAAACAGAGCCCTAACGTCACTATAACCCTGGATGAACTCCATTCTGTCAGTAGCCCAATGAGACATGGCACCAATATGACAGGGGAACTGTTTCTTGGCGGATATCCAGGTAAAATCTCTACAGATAACGGTTAGGAGATACCAAGTGTACTCTTAATGCTCGCTTCTGTCTCGTCTTTTGACAAAAAAAAACTTCTGCAATTTAACGTAGAAATTCGCACGAATTACAAAATTCTCGTTCCACAGCAAGAACATGGCGGGATGGGTGTTTTACATGGCTTACTTTGGTCATTTAAGGTGTCTTGCCGTTTTAAATGACAAACTAGGTATCTGAAAAGTGGGCTATAATTTGATCTAATGCTTATGGTGACTTATTTGCAGCTCAACAGCTGGAAGGTGGCCATGAGGTTGCCACAGGATTCAAAGGCTGCCTGAAGAAGTTCACTTTGGATGGAAACTCCCTGCAATTTGCACAAGCCGCGGACCTACATAAAGTCTCTTCAGCATGTCCACTGACCAGCAGTGAAAAAGAGTCAGCAATCGAGAATGAGCCATAGCGACCACGGCAAAAACTTTGCAAATAACAATTGTTGATCAAGTTTTATTTTAGCCACTAGATAGCTAAAGGCCAAATATAATATCACTACTAAGTGAGGTTTACTTAAATGCAAATGCTATCAGGATACCTAATTTTCTGGATAATTATAGGAGGTTGAATTGCAGTGTAAAAACTTGCACTATTTTATAAGCTAGAACCAAGCCACAGTTGCTAGACGTATTGCTGGAAAAAGAAGAGGGATTTTTCTGTGATTGGATATGAAAAAGGGATGTTTCTCTGATATTTTAACAAACCCATGGTTTGCAATATGGTTATTCATGTCGATTGGACAAAGGATAGTAAAATATCAAACTGCTTCGCCAGTTCTACCATTTCTACAACTAAACCTTGCCGGAGTGGGTTTTTTTTTCCCAAAATGTTCTGCCCTCGGGACGACGAACTGTCGCTAGAAACACCAGCTATTTTATTTTCCCTAATAATTGCGCGGTGTCAAATTTTCACCAGTGGATAAGAAATAATTTTCTTCTCACCTAGTGCTTAATTAATCTTAATTAATATGATCACCCCGAAAGCAAATATCCTTTCCCTGAAATGACAGTGTATAAATGTAAAGGCGAATGTTTATAAATTATCTGCATTATCTGCAGTTTTAAACGAGTTGATAGGAAAGAAAGGGTGTGTTCATCAAATGAACAAGGTTAGGAACAAAACTGACTCGATGCAACAGCGCAAAACTCATCGACTAGATTGGTTTTTACTAACATTACTATGTGCGGAAGTCATAATAAAATGTACAAAATAAATGTCTAGTAAGCTTTCTTCTTATTTATATCCTTTTAGTTTACCCCAATCCACAAATTCCAAGGTTTAAAATACACGCCGTGGAACAGTAATCACGGTATTATAGCAACATAGCCGTCATTCGGTGATTCTCATAACAGTCGTATTCACATTGTTCACAAGTTACTTTTCATTTTTGTTCATTTCAGTTGAGGTGGAATATTCTACAAGCGAAAAGTGCACAATAACAAATACCGTTAATGTTGATGTTCGGTTTATGATTAGCTCCACGCGCACCGTGTTCTGCCTAAAATTAAAAAGCTACTCAAAGTCAATTAACTGACCAATCACAGGCGAGTGACGGAGATCTTGCCACGAGGGTGTCACATGACTCGAAACATCCCCTGTAAGAGAGAGAAATGGAGAGCTGTTAGGTGAACGGAGAGGAGCACGTGTAGAGAAAGCGCTTTCAGCTCATTCTCTTGAAAACGCTGTGGAAACACTCGCCTGCGGCTCGTGTTCCCACAGCATTTCTCGTTCTTCCAAACTTCCACTCGTGTTTCTATAACTCGATAGAAACAGGGAACATGTTTTCTATTTCTTAATTGGTAATTTGAATATTTATCGATCAAACTGGCGGATAGAAGGCGATAAATCAGGTCCCTGGCCTGGATAGTCAGTTATCCAGGTCAATGCAGATTAATTAATTATGAACTGGTTGTGTTGTGGTTAAACCCAGTTATCATTTTGCCGCGAAGTTCAACAGTGGAGTAGTAGGAAAACGCTATGTATTATTTTGATCTTAAATACCCAGAACGTGTTAATTCAGAAACGTCCATTCCTTTAGAGCCCTTGTACTGTAATCAGTCAGCTCACCTTGGTAGGAGTACGGAGACGCCAGCAGATCAAGACGCGGTGATGTTTCTGAAAACAAGATATAAGTAGTGTAGTAACATGTATACAGTATCACAAAATTTCACTCTATTGGGCATTGCCTACATACCTCTAGCTAGACTGTTTACAGCCTCTCTCTCTATACGCGAAAGGGAAGGCGAGCGCGAAGCATCCCCGTCAAGTCTCCCGCTTTGCGCTGGCGTCCTGTTCTCTCGCGATGCTATCGATGCATTCAATGATCGAACAAAAATACAGGAAAAAAGAGGGCTGTGAACAGTCTCATCTCTAGCTAACAAGTTAACTAATGGGAAGTGAGTGCTGCAATTATAACGATATCGGTTACGGTGCTGTTAGGTTTGCTGATATCTTCGCGGACTTTCAAAACAACGATATTATCAAAAATCATCACATTGTTTACACTTGACAGAACCTCTACATATTGACACATCATTGTGTAGGAATGTCTGTATTGTTCACTCAAGAATTATCATTGTTTTAGTTCCACAACGCGCTCCTGGGCTCATTCTAGAGAACTTCCGAGATTAAAAATATCCTGAAGTTACGTCGCATGGCCTATCATATTTTAATTATAATAAATATCATATAACTTTTAATTTTCATACAGTGAAGTCATACCTCTGGAGCCACCGAGTGAGTGGGTTTATAAGAAAATTAATTCCACAAAAGGACAATACACTCTGCGTCCTACCTTGAGCAGAGAGGCTTGAAGGAGTTTGTTTCGTCCCAGGGCCGCCGTGGGAATTGTCCGGGCGCTGAACAGAATTTATTAAAAGCGGCGACGATATGCTGAAAGGTACGGAAGTATGAAGACCATTTATCATGTGAGATGTCGTGGAACTTTTTTCTTCAGAAACAAGACCTGTCCTATTTGTGTTTCTTTGTGGAAGCTTCGGTGTTGCTGTCTCCCATGGCAAACCTTCAAACAGTGCCAGACCTCCACTATTCAAGCCTCCCTCTGATGAAACTGCGGGAGGTGTTCCTTGAAAGGGACTGGTAAAATCCACGTCGCTTTTTAGAGGTGTTTGTAAGAAACTTTTATCGAGAGGAGAATACGGTGAATGAGGGAGACTTGTCGTTTGCGGAGGGGAGTTGAATGAAAAATTTGCAAAGTCATTCTTGGTACCATCATCCGAAGGTGTGCCCCTACTGCTTGGAGTCAGCGGTGTGAGCAACGCTGGCTCACTTGTACGACTAGTACTCAAGTCTCCATCGGTGTTGGATCCAGGGGTGACCTGAGAACAAACAAAAACAAGAAAAACAATTCAAGTTACTTAAAATGGATGTTTTTGTATTCATATGCACATGAACGCATTGATTCATTGCTGCAAACGATCGATTAACATATGAAGGTGAATTGTTTGAGCGAGATTTAAAATATTTACCGTTCCGTTGCAAGTACATGTGGTTGTCTTGATGATAAAACATGTTATGATTGTTTGTGACTTAAAAAAAAAAGTTAAGTAAAATAACACTTAATTTAAAAAGGGTAGCCCGTTCAGCTCAAGGGCTGGTATCCAGAGGGCCCTGTATAAATAAAATCAGATTAAAAATACAAATTTATGTACACAGATTAACTTAATAACGATACGTTAAAAACTAAAACTACGTTAAAAATCTAATTACAATACTAAAATACTAAGAGAAACCACGAAGAACTATTACGATAATAAAAACCCTTTTGCACGGCGGCAGAAAGTCTGTATGTCCTCGGCTTTCGTTATGTCGGTGGGCAGCTCATTAAATCAATGTGATTTGGCTGGAACAGTGATTTTTAAGCTGCACGATATGACATTAAGGAATGTTTTTCCACCAACGCATTTCTCTTTTAATCATAATGTACATGTACATGTAACTTTACTTGAATGCCAACATAACAAGTTATCAATGAACTACGGCTGCTGTTTTAAACTCCTTCGTCATTTTGAATGCAACGTTTTCGTTAAAGTATTTTAAATCATCGAGAGATAGATATTCGCGTCTACGCTTACCTGTTGGCTCTTTTGCGCCTGTTTTATTTGGTCCAACCTGCTGGCCAGAAGTGACGTGTCTGAAGGCGTTTGCACCGCATTCTGTTTCCCAGGGAAGCTTTCTTCAGCCTGGGAGGTTAGCGGTTTTGATGGCGTGTAATGTGGTGTAGTAAACGATTGTTGTGTTAGTTTAATCTTATTTAGTCTCTGAATCAGCGCTGAAGTGTCGACCTCATATGAAGAGGATGAGGTATTTTGAAATGACGTTTCTCTAAAAAATGCGGCTGGCTTCGGTGTTTGATGCACACTTGAATGGGATTGGATCGTTTCATCCTGCTCCAAAAGAGTGCCACGCCCTGGCCGTGTATCCCCGAAATAGGACATCTGGCTTGAATTAGGTGTGGTGAGTACAGCTGAAGGGTCAAAGCCCATTTCACGTGTTGCACTGTCGTGTAGTGTTGACGCTCCTCTAATCCGAGCTGTGTCTAAGGGCGTTTGCTCTCCTGAGGGACTGTGTGGTGAACCACTAGCGCCACGTTGCAGAGATGGCTGCTTGATCCTGTTCAGTCTTTCAACAAACTCTCTTGTGTCAACAAGTTTAAGCTCGGCGGTATAATCTCGCTGCTCTTGGTAAGAATTCGGAAGGAGTGAATTGTTCTCTGATTCTGATGTAGGTTGCATCTCTGAACGAACAGGGGAGCCACCCAGTTGCAACCGAAAAAGATCAGGTTGCGATCTTCTTTCCACTGATAGAGCGACTTCATCTGTTTCGGGTGCAGCCTGCTCACCAAATCTACTGAGATATTCAATGCCATTGAACGACGAATTACCACTCTCTAAAGACGTTTCTTCAAAGAGGTCACTTCTCGCTGACATAGGCGTGGCCTGAACACCAGAATTATCCAGATTTCTATCATGGGGAAGCAGCCAGAAATCAAGTTGTGGTGATGGCCCCATGGACAGAGGTACCCTGGCTGACATTGGTGTTTGATGTGTAACTTGGTGCCTCGGTGTGACATGCTGTTGTTGCGATGACACTTCTTGGGATTGGGGCGATTCCTCAAAGAGAGCTTTCTTAACAGACTTTGGCGTGGACTTAGCAATGGAGTGGTTAAAACGCTCATTTACAGCAGGGTTTGAAGCGATCTTTACATCAGAAAAGTCAGGAATTGTGGTCGGAAGCGCAGATGACGTACCATTCTCAGGTGGTGTTTCGTGAAACAGAGAAGTATTGAGTGAATTCGGAGGGAATCTGACATCAGACCAACTGAGGCTAGTTACAGCTTCTTCCTTAACTGGACTGGGACCGGCTGATTCAGCAGACTCATCAAGGATGGTTTCGAGAAAACGACCAGGTTTGGTGTCACGTCTTGGTTGAAGCAAGGTTTTTTCCGCTGAATCCTTGTATCCTATCAAAAGTACAAAACAGCCCAGTATAAACTGAATAGTCCAAAGAAGATACAATTTCTTGATGGACAGAGAAGTGTTTTGTATCAAGGAGGAAAACCATTTTGTGTTGGAAGATGACTTAGTCGGAAATCTAAGAAAAATAACCAGATGGACACTCTATAGTACTTCCATTGAGTCGTTCACATTTAACAACAGAGAACCTGGAACAAAATGAAACCATTCTTACCAGTCGGCTCCGTCTTGGCTGGTGTTCTTGGTATACGATCTCGAGGCTGAAAAGCATCTTGTCCTGAAAATAATCTAGTTTCAGACCTTGCCGCTTTGATTAAAACAATTAAAACAACAACTAGCATGGGTTATTTTTGGTAACGACTTTTCTCTTACACTAAAAGTTTAATCCGAAACGTACTATGCAATAATGTGAAAGACAATTACTTATGTCAGGGTACCTTGACAGTGCAGTTGTGCTGGAAGGACAGAAACATACCTAAAGCACCTACAGGATCCACTAATGCTTGAGCCTAAAAGAAAAAATAAAAGAAAAAATGCACAGTAAAGAGATAAGAATGAACAAGAACGTTACAAGAATGTTCTTGGCAGCCTCATTTGGTGACTATCATCACCGTATTCTTTGTATGTATTTGACAGTTTGCCACGAACATTAAATTTATGTTTTGAAAAAAATAGTACTTAGTCTCCAACAACACCCGGACTTATTTTTCGGCTGCAGAGCAATAATTTCATCCCGTAACAATGATACACTTAGTTCACTTCCGTCGAACTATTGCAAGGACAAACCGGACTCACATTACTATCACCTTATACTATAACCTGATCTGCAAAGGGTGTCTAACATCAATAATTAAGATATCTCATTAGATGTTTTGGTTTGTAGTATCGCTGTATATTTTTACGAGTTGTTCCGTATTTTGACGAGCCCGTAGGGCGAGTCAAAATACAAACAACGAGTGAAAATATACGGTGATACTACACACCAAAACATCTAATAAGTGATTTATTATCCAACTGCTGTAGTCAATAAATTTATCAGTGAAAGAGGGAGAGTGTGACAGTTTTGCATCCGCGCGCCTACCTGTCCGGCAAACAGGTTTTCTACTGTACAAATAACTGTACAAATAACTGTACAATATCGCTGTATATTTGTACTCGTTTCGCGCGATATTTGGACGGTATTCTCTACAGTTGGATAATAATACTCCGTATTGCTCGGGAGTTAAACCCTTTCAGAAATGGGGAATTTGATGTTTCACACTGTAATACGACATTACCTGGGGAGTGCTGGAACGAGAAGAAGGAGCTGAGGACGACAGAGAACTAGAGGTCGTTTCGGTCATTGCAATGGCATCTGCAATCTGCGAAAACACGTAAGAATGAGACACAGGTTATCTAGCTAGTTTCAAACTGTAAATCGGAGACGAGTGAAAAAAAGAAAATAGGGCATTGAGTATCACGAGAAAGAATGGCTTTGGGTTGGTTATCATTCTCCAAGAAAAAAATGGACACAAAAAAACATCCGTAAGTGGTTTGTTACCTGATCTGCTAAAATATTCTGTGGTTTCAGGTTTACTGGCAAATCTTTTGATCCATTCTTAACTTGCTTTGCTCTTGGGGTAACATAATGCTTTTTTGAGTAAAAACAACACAACGCATTAAACAACAAATAGGCACATTATTCTCTTTAAAAAGAACAGAAAAAATGCAAGAAGATTGGATGAGGGATATTAGGCAATGTCTAACAATTGTAAAATGCTACCACGATCAAAACTTGGAAATACCAGGATTGATAAACTACAGAAAGCTACAGAACATGATAATGAAAATCCTGAACTAAGGGATGTTGTCTTCACGACCTAAACTGCAGTGCTAACTTGAAGCTGAATTTCTATTTTGGCTTTGGAACGCACACATACTGGATAGCTGACACTTTTCTCAGTATGGACTTGTGCAGAAGACTTCGTTTTCCTCCTCTCAGTTGACTTGGAGGTTACCGTCATGGCGTTTAGAGTCTACAACATAGAATAACACAAAAAACTGTTCTTCACTCACTACGTTTCAATAAAATTTCATCAAAGATGCTACAATGAATTGAAAATCGGTTAGTGGAGAAAACATTAACCATTACTTGATTTGGTGGCGGATGCTGTTGTGGTCGTGGAAGTCTTGAAGGCACAGCCTTTTTGTCTCTGCCAAACAGGGAGATCATAAATAATGAAACTCAAAAACTTTGACCTTCATCAAATTCATTCTTTAAACAAAGTCACAAGAGAATGCAATATAGAACATACTTAAGCTTTGAGACGGATTCTTGTTTGTCTGTAAAATAAGAAAAGTCGAGTCAGGGAAAATACTTAAAACTAGAGCCTGCCCATAGTAATGCCAGAGATCACTTGAACTACAGGCCACTTGCACTTTCCCTAAAACATGTCAAGTCATCAGACATTGCTGGATGGTCTTTTAATGAGACTCGTACAAGTAACTTGTCTTTTGTTGACGAGTACATTAATGTCAAAAGAGTAAAATGCATCAATCACCATGTAACTGTTTTCTTCTGGCAGATTTGGTCCATGCTTGGATCACATCTGGAGTAGAAACTACAAACAAAATGCATTCTAATGTCAATCACAAGGGGAGATTTTTCATTGTGCAAAGAGTATTTCACACGTAAAGTTTCTGGCCGTTGCTGCAAAAGTCACGCTTTCTTAAGTCGGATATTAGAGGGCACAAGCACCATTGGTAAGTCTCTGTAAAAGTTCTCGTTAATAAATAATTTCCTATAATGAATCAACAAAACACTTTTAGACACTGTGTAGAGCAGTACTATAGGAACAAATCAACTTGCTAACACCATGCTCACAAAATTCCACAAAGGCTTTATGCAAGCCTGAAAACCGCAATGTACAGTAATTAGGATAAGCTAGAGTTTGGCAATCATGGCAATCTGGTTTTGGAAGAGTGATACTATATAGTGGATAGGTTTCAGTGCTCGTCACAAGGGTAGTGCCTCAACATTCTCCTAGAATTATGTTCTAGTACAATTCTAAGGGTAGCTTTTCAACATGGCTAGAGTGACTCTTTTGTCAAAACCACGAACTCTATCAGTCGTTGGATATGAGGTTTAAACTTTACAGTTTGAACTTAACACAACAGGGAGCAACAGCTTTTATGTGGAGCTACTGGATGAAGACATCTTTATTCACATGTACAGCACGCTGTACCTGTATCTGGTGACATCTTTAGACTTTCTTGAAAAGATGTGATCCTCTCTGCAGCTGGTGTGTCGGCAGCAGCAAAGGATACTGGAGGGGTAGGAGGCACCAGGCCTAGATTCTGAAAAGAGCAATGATGAGCATGACTAAAGTTTCAGCAAATTAATGAAAAGGAAACTTCCTGACAAGATGATACTGTACCTACAGAGTACAATATGAAGTAAGTGGTTACTCACAGGAGGACAACTGATTTCAGTTCAAAGGTAATGCCTAAAATTTCTTGATTTATGATTTATGATTCAATGAGTAAAGGCAAACTGAAGCATATAAATTGTTTAGAGAAGTTGCAGCTGATTTAATTCAAATTGAGCTGGTTAAAAAATGACAAAGATACATGTAGGAGGTGTTTATCAGAAATGCTGTATTATTTTCACGTATCAGATTAATTTATATAGTTATCTCTAATGTATTCTGTGTACAGTGGTATGTGAAAACAATTCTTCAGTTTGGTTTCAACTACAGTGGCAAATACTTCATGTATAGTTATCAAACAAATATAACAAGCCACAACAGTAAAAGTGTTTCCAGGATGAGATCTCTTCAAGGATCTTTCAAGTTTTCTATTGGGAATGTTAAGGGTTGTGGAATATTCTTAGCAGAAAGTATTTCAAATTCTTAGCAACGATCTTTAAGGAGCTTTAAAGATCTTTGAAAGATCCCTAGTACCCTAAAGGATTTTTATTAACAGGTCTTACAAGATCTTGAAAGATCTTTCCCATCAACCTACAAAGTGTTTCAGGATCAGAGATGCATGTGAATGGGAGGCAGATATTACAGCCCAATGCGCCGCCAGTATGCCAGTTATAACTAAGTTAAGATAATCCAGATTTTCTAACCACCTACAAATAAGACAGGTGCCTCTAATGGCTTGCTCTGTTTCTGTTCCAGAGTCCTGTAACATTGCAACTTCATTTCCTTGATAGATTCCTTCATGGCAGGCATTGTCTCCTCAATTGCTGCCCTGTGTGAATTGAATGTGCAGAATATAACAAAGGGGTAAATCCAAAACCTTTTACACTTTAAAAACTGTAGCCACAATTAAAACTGAACAATGCTTATTTTTTTTAATAATAGGCACATTATTATGGTCAAACACTGACTTGTTTGAAATCACATAATTGCCTGCATAATCAAGAATCCACATAAACAAAAATTTATCATTAGGCAATATAATTCAGCATTAGAGAAACGTTATGAACTCACAAAAACAATGTTCAGATAATTCTGTTTAACTGCAAAATAATTCTACTATTCCCAAGCCAAAGTTAAACTTATCAATACTCAAGTTTTCCTTTGGCAACAAATTTTAGTGATTATATTTCTAGCACGTTTTGTGACAACTTACTACCTACAATATATTTTTTTAAGCTTTTGCAATGTACAGGGAAAGACTCAATTAGTTTGTGAAGGACTCATATTTTCAGGCTGCACAGGATATGGAATTTAGTTGCCAAATGCCATATGTGGAATTAGAACTTCAAATAAAATAACGAATGCACAACTTATGAAAACAAAATGTAATATTATTGTTTAATTATGAACAGTGCACATAGTTGTAGAGCAAACCTGAGAGACTTGGCATTGGTAAGATGAGCATGATGAGTGTGAAGTGCTGATCTCATTGTTGGACTTTCATCTTCAAAACTGGGAAGAGGCTCTAAGAGAGAAATTTAAAGCAAATATCCTCTGATTTTACTGTTAATATGAAAATTGCCAGGAAAGTTAACCTTTCTTCTGCCTAGAATCTCCTTTGTCTTAACCTTTATAGGTTCCTTCAGCTGGTTGATGCCTTATGATGTAGTGACACCAATTTGGAAATAAAATCTCCAGGGTGCAGTTGTCAAGATTTAATTGAAATCACCTTGGTAGTTTTCTTGACACAAAATAGATATTAGCAATCATTTTAATAAATCATAGAAAATGCTGAGAAATGTGCCAGAGTGCTTTTATACTTTAAAAGGTGTAAACAAGGTTTTGTACATACACTTCGCCATGAATCTTGCACCTTTCTTTAAAACAAATCATGGTACTAACAACAAACCTTGAGAAATTTGCTCCTTGATTTTGCTAAGAGACAAATTCCATAGTTGAATCAGGCTGAGGAGGAAAACAAAATTGCATTATGATCAAGGAAATTGTCATATTACTCCACATTTCTTCATTTCTTCTCCCACCCCATCTCAATGTTGAGCTCTCAAAAACAATACACAAACAATCCTTATCTTAATCTATGATGGGGTTCAACATTAAAAGTGCTAGGGGGACCTTCCAAATGGTTTGTACGCTGTATGTGACACTTAACAAGTGTTAATTGTAAAGTGTCTCTCTCTGTGTTGTTGTTTTTCTGGTGGGGTGGGGGCCCGAGGGGGGGGTACTCCCATAAAATTTAATTTCGGATAGGTGTGTGTTACGAAGGGTCTTAAACCCTGACCCTATTTAAGGATGAATCAAATGAAAATTGATACCCTATTTAAGGCCCAAACCCAAAAAATGACACCCTATGCAAGGGAAGAACAAAAACTCAAAATAGCTTGAACGGGTCAACTTTATTTCGTTTCTGGGTGTTAACGCACTGCTATTTTAGCTGATACAATTTAGGCACCCTATCTAAGGATCACACCGGGACACTATGCCAACATGGGCGAAAATGATACCCTATTTAAGGATCGAGAACCTCAAAAAACCATACCCTATCCCGCGGCACATACCTATATAGCCCATACGGGGGAGTACCCCCCAGGGGGTGGGGAAGGGGAACATTCCAACTACTATTGACTTTGGTTGACTTTATAATATAATTATTTAAGATTCCTTCAGGGCTTTCATTAACATTTTCAGCAAGAGGGCAACTGGTTTTCACAGGTGGGCAAAACTATTTGAACTGAACTTTTTATAAGCAAAACTTTCTGCTGGATGATCAAACCAGCCGCGCAAAATCATCCTTACAGCCGGTCAGTTTGCCCGGTGGAGTAAGTGACTGACTTTGCAATCTTTATTCTAAAAACAGCCCATCAGAGTGCTGAGAGTAACTAGCCCAGACCATGAAATAGATGGTGATTTTCACCAGCACCAGGCTACTTTTGGCCGCCCTGGTTATAGGGTGTAGCATTCATTTACATGTCACTTCACAGGAATAAGCCTCACCTAAAAAGATTCACTTTTCCACCAATGTAAGTGTCCTCGATATTTCTCTGTTAAGAAAAAAAAAAGTAAAAACACTATGAGGAAGAATCCACATTAACAAATACAGAGGAATCCCGTTAGTACAGTCACCAACGGGCCATGAAAATTTGGCTGTACCAACAGGGTGGCCATATTACATGTTTCATGACTGGCCTATTTTAAGTGGGAAAAGAAAAGGTGGATGGAAAGTCAGATGCAAATTCAAACTAAACATGTAGTTCAAGATGTCCCACCAAGTTTGTCATCAAACTTGACATGGGTTTTTTAAGAAACTAGCCTTTCTTATCTCTCTTTCACAGTCTCTCAACAGCAAGTCTGGAACCTGACAAAATCAATAAACAGGCAAATCAGGAAAAGATACAAGCAAATGCTAAGTACTGTTGATTGGTTTGTTTATACAACATCATTTACATCACATGTACATGCACCCTGTATTTAATAGCCTTCTTAGTAGCTGATGTATCATTGTGTCCTTCACTTTAATGCAACATATATCTCATTGCTTTCCTCCTTGTTTAAACAGGGCTACATGTAATAATTATCTACAATCATGGACAAAAGTCTTGGGACAAATTTGCACTTTTGGCGCTTTTGCGTACACGCCAGGCACGAATACAACTTCACTTGCCTAACCTCACCCCCCACCCCCCATACAATGTTGAAAACTAGCATGTACAATTTCACCTGATTTTCAATATTGTGTTGGGGGGGAGGGGAAACAGATACCCGTTTATAAAGGATATACCAGCATTTTCTTCATACTTCAATTCTAAAACACAGATAATCCGCTACATTACATAAGTGTCCCAAGGACTTTTGATGACGCCGAACTTAGACCATGCTGGCCAATGATCTCATGAAAACTCACATGTGCAGCAGGGTAGCCTAAGCATGGCCACTAAGCCTTACAGGGCTCATGTTTCTCAAATTCATTGTTCATTGTGTTCCAGTAGCATTTGCTAGGAATTGTTGCTGTGTTCTGTCTCTCCTTCCCTCCCTCCCACTCAGGTAAATATGAAATCATTTTCCTCATTCAGTGTAATGGTGCTGGCTGCCACTCACAAGGCAGTCATGGATACCTAAACACTTGGCTCAAACACAAAATAATGGCTTCACCATCCTGAAAGGCATTAATTTACATATACATGTATTGTTGGTGACTAAATAGTGTTACAGTTGTCCACATGAAGCTACTGTGCAGAGCTATTATAAATAAAATACATTTCCATTTGGTTACCCTTGGTTGAATCTCAGAAGCATCAATGTGGTATTTATTTGCTTCACCATTAAGCACTGAATCCACTATTCTTCTCTGTTCAATAAGGCAAAATAAATGGAGGAACGAAATTAACATCCTGGTCTATTTTACAATTAGATTATGACCTTAAGATCTCCATCGCTTGATTGTTGACGAGAGCACAGCCCAAGTCAACTATTGCCCATAGAAATCGAGAATGAATAATCTATTAATCTAGTAAATCATTTAAATCCTCTCGCCAAACACTTCAAATGCACAAAGAAGTAGCCATCATTTTGTTAACAACCACACACTGCTGGGCTACTCACTATCTACTTAACAATTAGATTATGAGCTCGAGATTTCCAAGAGATGTACCTCATAGAAATCAAGAGTTTCTAATCTTACTGTTTTAGTAGAATTCTTACTAAAATTTACTTCAAATAACAGTTTCCAATTATTTCTTGACGTATTATTAAACTTTGCGCCTTAAAAAGATCACTAGGATTGAATTGTCATTTAAAATTGAAGTTGTGTACGTGCACGCATAATTTTTTTTCAACAATTTCAACTTTATTTAAAGTCAAGAAACTGTAAATGCCCTTCGTTTAGTCTTCTCAGGAATTTAATCCCCCATTTGCATCAAACGTTTCCTCCAAAACTTTGGAAAAACGAAAAAAACAGCGCCATTTCATAGACAGCCTCCAGGCACTGCACACTAATGGCTGATAGTGTGCAATGGCTCAGCAATCAGATTAGTAACAGCATTTGCATTAGTATACATGTATTAATAGAATTCTACTAAAATAGAATAGATAGTGAACAGAGTAGCCGATAAGAGAAGAGCATTCGTAATTTGGAATGCTGGTGGTTTATCCTAAATGTATATATGACTCATTTTTATTTATTACACAGTAGACTAATAACATCAACATGAGGCAATAGGAGAAAACAGAAATTAGCTTGAAGTGAAATAATTATAATATTGTAACTTTTTCCATGAATATTTTGGACAGTCTGCCAACAAGTTTTTGAAGGTTAACAAAACATAATAAGAAAATAAAGTGGTGACAGTATGCTTAATGGCTGAGTTTTTTTCATTGTTTATTAAATTTTGTTTTCTATTTTTTATTCCAGTTTATGTAGCAAGTGAAATTTTCTGAAGAGATCTATTTGATGTAGCAGCATACCTGAGGAGCTTGTACAGAGTGGAATTCAGCAATTCCAGCCCAGAGATCACGGATCTACATAAAAAAAAGCATTGCAAAGGATAGTTAGGGTGACGAGTGTTAGATAAAAGTGACTACTATGATATACATGTAACAGTGTATACAGACGGCAAACATGGGTTTATCATCAGTAACTGACTGAGAGACATTATATTATTTCCAACCTTCCATTGCTATGGATTTGTCTTATCGCATGTCTTGTATTTCACACTTGTTACATTGCTTACAAAAAAGTAGACATGTGATATGTTGTTATGTACTTCTAAGTTGATTGCAAAACAATAACTCAACTCAGTGTAAACATAGAAGACTTTTTCAACACTTGCTTTGTAAGATAAACTTCTCTATTTTGTTCCTCATGTTACCACAACTCTCTGAAAACCAGTCCATCAATGTCATGTGAACTCTCTTCCCCAGATTTCCACTGTGTAATACTGAATTAATACTAAGATATGTCATTTACAAGACTGAAGCATAGTCATGACCTTTTGCAAACTTTGTGTTCTTTTGAGAGCTTCTACTTCTTCTTGGTAGTCTGTTTTCATACTGGGAACAGGGTTAAACATTGGATTACAATAAATAATGAATAATGTCAAATGTTATCCAATAAAGAAGGGGACTGATAACTTCTAACAATTTAATGAGTTATAATTTTAGGTTGCTTCACAAAAATATCATAAACTGTCAAGGAATATACTTGTAAATGGAACAGAGACACTTTCAGATACAAGAGACTTAACAAGCACTTGAATACATTTCATTTTACAGTCCACATGTCATTGTTACAAATCTGTTTCTGTAGGTCATAGATTTCTCATGGCTGGGTTGGAATGTACTGGCGAACATTTGAACTACTGTAATGTTACTTTGGCAAGACATGTCTTACAGCCTGGCGTATACCAAATAAGATTACAACTGGCATCATGATATATTCACCAGAATTTACCCCACCCCCAAACAAAATATGGACTAACCAGCCAACTGTTGTACAACAGTATTTAAATAAGTACAATCTGTCCTTACCCAGTATTTGTACCTCGTGGTCCAATCATTCCATCCAATTCCATAACTTGTCTTTCAAGATCACGCTTCTTTTTTACTAAAGATCTAAACTCCTTTGTAGACTCCCTGAAACAAGTATCATGTTATCAATACTGCTGTCAGTTTTTTAATTTATTTCTTATTACCAGTCCACTAAAAAATTACATTTTGTTTTGGGACATCCCCGAAAATCACTTTGGTCTGTGGAGCCTGTTTAATCTGATTCATGCAGCCCTTCTGGCCGCTGGTAATGTCATCTGTTGACAATCATGGACAGACCCACATGACACCTACAGCTCGTAATATTTGTACACTTGTCCTTATCTTTTACATGTCATTTTGGTCTTTCAACCTACATATATTTTGTTTGACATTGCTAGAATGGAATGGCATTACCTACTTATGTGAATACATGACTGAAGTTGTTATTGGGAAAAAAATGCAAAGGAATGCGGTTTGTGTTTGAGCGACTGTTAGTGGGGAGAAGGGTTGCATCATGACCCAAGAAACAGTTGTGAAAGTAATACATACATGGCAAATTCTTTCCAATGATGTTCCACTTCTACTGCATGCTGGGTAAACTCTATAAATCTAACAAACAGTAGGCATTTAATGAAATAATTTTACTAAAAACTATCATGTGTCATACATATAATAACATGCAGCTGAAGGGTTGGTTGTAAGATATGTATTATGTTATGTTTGCAGTTGATTACTCTTAGATGGTTAGGCTTCTGAAATATACTACTAGTGGTGGTGGGGTGGGCTTCAAGCCGTAAAACTTCCATAAAAAAAACGGTAAAGTCTGCATGCAAGCCAAGTGGCCCATCAGGCTGGAGCTTATCCCAGTTTCTGTAGCATGAAGCGCCTAGGAGTATTTCTACTCCCTCCTGGATGGGATGCTAGTCCATTGCAGGGTTACCCCCAGCATTAAGTTCGCCGGTACCCATTTATACATGTACACCTGGGTGGAGAGAGGCACTCTGAGAGTAAAGCGTCTTGCCCAAGAACACAACACAATGTCCCCGGCTGGGGCTCAAACCCGGACCGCTCGATCCGGAGACGAGCGCACTAACCATGAGGCCACCGCACCTTCCACGTAAAACTTCCATGGGGGAGGGGAATTGGACAGTTTCTTGAAGACTAACACCTATGAAACTCGAGTTAATAACTGCCTTGCAAGATAGAGTTTGGGTGCCTGAGACATCCAGGAGGTTCCACTATTGGCAGCCAGCTCCTAGATCAGGACCGCTCCCATGGCTGGCAATTCTAGCAACCTAGCCATGAGCCCCCACATGGAAGGGAGAAAAACAGGCATTGATCACACTGATAAAATGGTGAAAAGAGAAGGAGGAACAGGGGAGGGGACACAACCTCTGAGAACAGTCTCCATGCTTAAAACACTAACACTCAAGGAAAATGCTGAATAAGCGCAAAAACTTCTAAAACACCCTGTGGTCCAAGAACATGTGGAATTCTGGCTTGTGCGCAGATCTAAATGTTGCTGATCAAGAAGGCAAGACTTGCACTCCTTGTTGTTACCTCCATTAAACTGCATTTAACTGCATTTATAAAATTGGAAAAACAAATTACAAACAAAACTTAAAGTACCAGTAGTAGTAAGTTTACATACATGTACAATGTACAATGTACCATCACAAACTATATTATACCTCTTCTTTAGCACAATGTAATGAGCTTCCAGTGCTTTTGACATGACATGAGTAAAGGAATGGTTATGAACTGTCTTTGTTGGAAAAGTAGGAATACTGATTATTTTACCTGTTGCAAACCATTAAGTAAAAAATAAATTAATAAAAAGATAACTACAATCAAAATGGTTTTCATACATGCAACTGTATTTTTGACTGGTAGTTTGAAGAACTTTGAAATTTTATTAATCTAGATGGATGTATTTAACCTTCAAAAATTCATAAATAATTCTACATTAATTTTACATTATTTTAGAGTCAAAAATTATTCTCCAGTCATGTACTTTTTGTAATTTCTGTGATTTATTTGCTTGTACTAGAAAGACTAACTACTTAATAACCGAGAGTGAGGTCGTTACGGGAAAATCTCAAACTGAGGCCTTGCCGTATTGACCGAGCNTTAAACTTAAAAAACACACTGTCATATTACCATTCTCATAGTCAAGTTTATCTTGAGTAAGCAACTCTACTGGAAACAACAATCTTACCATGATCACGGTACATAACTTTTGTTAAAATATACAAGGAGAAGTGATGAAGAAATGAGTAAAAACGGTCTCCTATAACAAGAAAATATAAACAATAAATAACTCAGATTTACATATTAATTACCACTTTACAAACAGATGTACTTGTAAGTGTAATTCAATGCATGGATATCCAAGTTTAATAAGGTCCAAAAAGTTGTTTGTTGTGAAAGATATTACACAATCAATGTCACAAGATATATGTAGTTAAAACAAATATCCAATTTCTTGCAAGAAGTTCAATCAATCATTGTAAATTAGGACGTTATTTGCAGGTATAAGTCAGATGATATTGTCAGTTTAGCTGTACAGAAATATCACTCTAAGCTTGTTGCTAAAAACTTGGTCGAATCTTACTTTTCTCGAATTGAATGTGCAGAAGACTACATGTTGTATATAATAATAATAATAATAATAATAATAATAATAATGATAATTAATTAATTGTGCTAAGTCAAGGAACTACAAATTTAGTTAACCGTATTAAACTACCTCCAGGAGAGTGGAAAAGAGATTGAACAATTCTAGGTAACCTTGCTTCTGGGTCTTCCTATAAATGACGGCAAATAAAGCTTCATCATCATCATCATCATCATCATCATCATCATCATTTACTACACGTGCATTGTATATTGAATAATAATAAATATTATACATGGCACTTCCTGATGAGTTCAATATTTTCCAAGAAATATTATAGTGATTTATGCTGCTTTATTTCATACATGTACATGTATTTTCTGCAAAAGAGTATCTATGAAATCCCTCTATTGGTCAAGATAACATATCACAAGTAAGCAATTTTATTTACAATATTTTACCTTCTGTATTCTGGATACCCAGTTGAAGCAGACTTTTCTAAACTGTTGTTCAAGTAGTTTATCACGGACAGGCCAACAATCTCTGCATGGTAATTTAATGAATTATAGCAGCATTAATACAGAATACAGAAAAAAGGTCATGATGGTAGGGCTAACACTGTGAATTTAAACCTACCAACACAGTCAACTACTGCACAACTATACCTAATTATAAAAAATATGCTGGCATTGACAAATCACAGTACTATTGGTCAAAATTAAAAATCATCTTACACTATTACCCTATTAGTCTATTAACCTATAACTTTCAATAAAATAAATTCAAAAATTTTGATGTTTGTAAAAAAAAAAAAACGCAAAAGGAACGCACTTATACATTAGATGGGCTTATATCCTGGAGGGGAGCTTATACCCGGAATGATATCTTTGTTAGCAAATAGAAGGACTTACAGTGTATATCTTGGGGGGGGGGGGGTTATAACTGGGAGGGGGCTTTAACAATATAATTAGTGATAATCGGTATTGACATCAATTAATATTTTGCAGACATGGAACAGAGAACTGGGTGCGAGCATAGTACACGAAGGCTCATGCGTAGTATGTTTGTAAAAAGAGACGGTTGCAAAACTTGTGACATTCTACAGTCAGCCTTGCTACTAGCACTTTCGCATAACGGTTATTTTTATTGTTTAATTAGCATTATCTGATTTGATTTTTCATTCTATTGTTTATAGCTAGATCACCTTAACACCCCAAAGGTGGTGCCACTGTATTTGGTCGGGGGTACACAGTCCCTATTTTGCCTAACAAGAGGTTTTGGGGGTTTACGTGTTCGGCTTTGACGCATGTAGGACGTTACTCAACGTATCTCTTATCCACTTTGTTGTAAGCTTATTGTCACAAATAAAACACAATTATCTTGGGCCTTGCTGACCAATGTGCCCATACCTCAACCTTTGAGTGTGTTTAGTTGTGTATTGAAGGCAAAATTGGGATTTTACGGTATATGGCTGCACCGAGATAAGAAATTTCCCTTGGAGTGTTGAAAAATATTTCACTAGAGAGCGAACAAGTGAAACAATTTCAACACAAGGTAAGAAATTTGGTATCTCCAAGTGGCCATGTAATGCAGGTCTCAAAAAAAGTGTCGTCCAGTCGTTCAGGACCAGTAGATTTTCCTTCCAGGCAAGTTACTTTTCATTCTCACTTGCCCGATGGGCAAGAGATAAGGCAACTCGTCCACCAACTAAATCACTAAAAGAGCAAACTAAGGCTTGTCCAGGGCAAGCAAAATAATTATTTGAGGGCTACTTGTTCCGAGAGCAAGCTGGAATTCAAGTTTTTTTCTAGGCCTGTAATGTTCTATTTATTGTATAACCACCAAAGAGTTATAATAAGAACCACTCATCTTGGAACCTGAACTTGAATTTGAAAATCAAAATTTGTATATTTGTAATGTAACAGAACTGCAGAGTACAGGTCAATACCTAAACTCTTCATATGCCAGCTGTGGATGAAGTCTTGTGAAAAGAAAATGCATAACAACTTCCATAGCTTTCTTGTTTGGTAATACAAACATGTCACTAAAAATTGGATAAGAAGAATGAAAGTTAATGAATAAAAACCATGCTTACTCTATCATATAAAGTATCACCATCTACTTTATTACCAGGGTTGTAGCCAGTAAAAATATGACTAAGGCAATGTCCATCGTTAAACTCTCTTCCTTAATATTAAGGGGGTTTGTGATGACTATAAACAACAAAAACGAAAAAAAAATGACTGAAACAAGTGCCTCAGTTTGCCTCTGTAATACTAGCTATGACCCTGACTACAGTACTCATGTGAGTTATTGTTCCAAATCTAAAGAAAAAATTGCAAAATCAGCTACCTATTCTAACAAATAAAGCTCCCAACTCAAAAACTTTGGGAAAACCCTGCAAGGTGACAAAGTTTTCAGAGTGTACCCAGCTTAAAGCTCAGGTAATTTTGAGAACTTCTAAAATGTCACTCCTACCTCATAATATTAGGGATGGACCATTATATTTTTGACGGGGTAGTGGAAATGAACAATTTACCAAAAAATCAACCTGCACAAAAGAAACCACGAAACAAAATTCCTCCACAGAAATGGGGCAGATCACAAAACATTATTGCAGAAAAATTCCTCTTAAGAAAAATTGCCCAACTTCTGGCAGTCAGTCAAAAATATAATGGTCGGTCCATAAAAACCATTAGGATATTATTATCATAGATCTGTGTTAATTGTCTGACTTATGTCTTGTTTCTGTCTTCAAGGAGAGATTGGACATCTTCATGCAGATTACAGAAATCTGGATGAACGAATCCTTTACAATGTAAATGGTTAGTTCAGCTTCTGAACAAAGGGGCAATACTTCGTGTGATGTCTGGATAGGATTTGAGTAGTTCTTTTTTTAAGTTACTCTTACATAGGAATAAAGGAACTTCTCAGGTCACAGCACTGCAGGCACCTCAGTTCACATAAGCTTGCGCATTTAGCCAACGTTACACATGTTTATCAGTGATTCGATCTCCATACACTGTCTGGCACTTCAATATTCTACATCAGTTAAAGCGCTCTGATAGTGGTCTTTGCTTCTAGATATCTGAATTAAAGTTCAGACATACATTTCAAACTTACCGGTTAAACACTACTCTGTATTTGGACTCCATTTCTGCAGGGTTGAAATCCAACAGCAACAAGTTTGTGAACGTGATCTCGCGTAAGTCTAAATGATTCGGCATTATACCAACGGGTTTAATACATTCATTCATGGCTATATAATGAGCAACATCAGCAGCAACGCAGGAATGCAACAAGGTCAAAATTTTCAAGTGGACTTTCTTGAATCCGAGATGAATTCGGTAGATTTCTCTCGATTCGCGCCACAAAAATGAAGTACAAGCACTTAGATACACTGTACCAGTTCACCTCTGCGGTGAAAAGATCCTCACACGGGCCTGGGAACGAATAATTCCAAATCCAAAATGGGTACCTTGACATTGTGTAATCGTCTCTCGTCTTCAACACGAATAATTGTTAGGAATATGAACTATAAAAACTTACTTATTGATCGATCATCGCAAAGATTTCTGGCCTTACTTTCGCCGCGTCGTTTCACTATTGATAAAGTTGGAAAAGACACAAAAACAGGGACAGAACCCCAAGTGGATGGAGCGAAAAATGGCGACGGCGAGAGTGCAGGTTCGACAGAGGAAGATCCGTACGCTCCATTTCCAGACGATGTGAATCCTGTCACAAGAGAAAAAGGAGGACCAAGAGGGCCGGAACCAACTAGATATGGAGACTGGGAAAGAAAGGGACGATGCATAGACTTTTGAATGTGAAATTATTAGATATGGAAATGCTTTGATATTAATCACAGTAGTGTGTCGATGAAATGTGATGACAGTGTGTGATCAAGTTTATCATCATAGAACGTTTGAATCTCACCATCCCACCGATGTACAGTAACGTGGAAAAATAAGTGGCCGGGTGTTCTGGAGTTTTGGTCGTGAAAATACTGGAGGAATTTTACCGGGAAATTAATTAAACGAGAACTCTGAAAGCGCAAGTTTGTATAATCAAGAGCTTCAAGAACTTCAAGAAATATTTAATTCAGTTGTTGTCGATTCCTTTATGTTATCAGGTGGTCTGCCTTGCATGGGGATTTATATCTCTTTTGCAGACCATCCTTGTGGCATTTTTTTTTTCTTTGATTGTATAGTATATTAGCTAGTTTTTGTGTTACCACTAGCCATTAAATTGCAATAAATAAATAAAAAACTATTCGTTAAACTTTGGCCCGCAGTCCCACAGTGGATGAGATTGATTTGGTGCGTTTTCCACGATTTTCAGCTGATAAATTTAATGTATTGATTGCACTTGAATGGCAATGCGTCGTTTACTTTGCCAATTCAACCTAAAATAGATTGACTGCCTATACTAAACACGTCAGTTGTGTTAACACCTCCACGATTGTCTTTGATTCCAACGTCTGTCCAGTTGTGAAATCAGTTTACACTTCATTTCCATATGTTGAGACTTTCAATTTAAACAAGGATCAAGCAGGATCGCTGTTTATTGTTATCGTTTCTTTAATCCATGGTAAAGCCAAATGAACCGAACATTAAAAGGCAAAGAAAACTTACAAAGACTTCACCATTCAATGAGGAAATGATTGGAAATGTTAAAATGTAAGGGAGAGCTGAATATTTGGTATATGTAAATCTTTAGTGACACTGGTATCCCCGTCGAATACATGGCTGTGTACGGAGAACATTCTAAACGAGAATACTGCTTTACAAATCAGCAGTTTATTAGATACTCTATCTAATATAATAATCGTGTTTTTGAGATGCGCCCTATGAGAATATAATAGGCGTAAAGGGAAATAACCAGCTGTTAGGTTGGCTATAATAACAAACAA